GGGGAATTGGGGAAGGGGACCGGCCAAGTTGTTCTTCAGTCTTCATTGTGGAGGGCGCCAGTCACCATCTGGCTGCCTGTCGGCAGCTCGTGGCCTCTAAGCTCAAGGTGCAGTGTTCAGTCTTAGTTTCAGGTGGGCGTAGCCACCATCCCATGTGGGAGTCAAACTAGCAGCCTTATTAAGAGCACACACTCTATCCACTGAGCCATCTGGGCGGCAGCTCAGCTCAAGGTGCCAAGTTCAGTCTTAGTTGCCAGTGAGCATAACCCAACATTGAACAGGCAATCTTGTTGTTACACCAGCTGAGCCATCCTGCCACCTGTTGGCAACTCAGCGACAGCTCAGCTTGGATGCAGCGTCACTGGCCCATGTGGGAATCCAGCCAGCAGCCCTGTTGCTCAGACCTCGTGTTCTTAAGCCAACTCTTAACCAGCTGAGCCACTTGGCTGACCCAGATGTAGGGCTTGAAGCGGAGGATGCTGGGTTCAAGCACATGTGGAAATGCAGAGAGCAGTGCAGTGAGCCCGGTGCCGTCTCCAAGCTTTGACAGTTAGCCTGTGAGCAGTCTTGCTGTTCTCTCCACCTACTCACTTTTCCGCCTGATCTTTTTGGATCAAACCCCAGATATTGTAGTATTTCATCCACAGATCCTTCAGTATGTGTATCTCTAAAAGACAAGGCCTCTTAAAAGAAGTTATTGGGTTGTTGGAAAAGTCATGACGTATTTTTTCTATGGTTTCATTGCAAAAATGAGTCATGACTTTTCTGACAACCCAATAGTATTTTGAAGCTTTGAGGTTTGAGGCTTTTTGAGGGAATGAGTATCTAAATAGAAGAGGGGGTGAAAGTCAAAATCTTGGGAAATAGTTAAAGTTAGTATTTTTACTTCTTTGTATGTAGAAATGACAACAAATACTTCCTGCCCACAAAATGTCTTTTAATTTGGCAGCAAAAATTCCTCTAGTTTTTAGCCTTCCTTCACTGTCTTCCCTTTTCTCTTTCTCCTCAGGTTCACCTTCTGTGCCTGCTAGCAAATGGCTTCTATCGAAATAACATCTGTAACCAGCCCGATTTGCACGCTATTGGTCTCTCCATCATCC